GAGGGGGGGGGGAGAGGGAAAGGGAGGAGAGAGAGAGAGCGCTTATAAGTTGCGTCCGGCGGAAGGATGCAGCCGGTGGGAATGCTTTCGTGAAATCCGCGACTGATATTTCGCCTTCGATTCGGTCGGGCGCAGCTTCCTCCTCCTCTTCCTCTTCCTCGGCAAATCCGGCACGATTATCATTGTGTGTCGGAATTATCGGCTATCAGACACTTCCCGATGGCGCTCGCGACTGATAATACACACGTTTTCGGCGTAATACCGCCTATAACGTCGGAGCCACTGCGAGTGCTCCACTTTCAGGTAAATCGATATGCATAAGCCGCATCGGTGCATATTGCCCGGCAGTTGAAGTAATACTTGAAATTCTAGGTCGAAAGACGAGCACCTGTTCGACGCCGCAGCCCGGCTTCGACCGTTCGACTGATACCCGCGATAACGAGACAGCGCGCGCAGATGTTAAACTTTCGTCGCGATTTATGTAGAGCGTGAAATCGACGTCACTCATATACCGCGCACCGGTCGCATTGTGCATATTTCGGAGATTCCGCGATGATGTACGAAGTCGCGAACGACTGTTTCTCTGGGAAGTCAGAGCGCCGTGAAATTTCGAGAGATATATTTCGGAGGCACGCGCGGACTAGAATCCCATCCGAGGAGAACCGCGGCAAAAGACTCGATTAGATGATGTGCGAGTGTATGGATGCTCGATTAACGTGGTGCGTGAGTTTGGAATGATTTTAATTATTGGATTAAATATGAGGAGTCAGAAAGGGGAAATTATGTAAGGATAAATGTATATATAGTGTGCAAGTGAAAGCGGAACAAGCGAATTAGGTAGGAAAGCAGGATTCAGGGCGGAAAAAGAGCATAGATAACAGAGGTTATGGCGTTATAAGCAACGGTTACTTAGAATGGTGTAGATAATGCAGGTAAGCTTAAATTAATATGATAATGCAGAGATGTAAAATAGGTGGTAACAAGAGACAGAAATGCGCAAGAAATCGAGGAAGAAAAGGATACAAGAAATGAAGAAGAAAGGCTTGAAATGGAAATCAAATGGGATAAGATAGTAAAATACAGGTATACGGAAGAAAGATAACACAATGACATGTGCTGTGCAAATAAGAAGATTGAAGTGCAAAGTATAAGAGGAAGCTTACAGGATATGGAAAACTTCTTGACGATGTAAACTCAAGTAGATATAGGAAGAGAACAAAAAGATAAAGGAATTACTTGATGGAGTTAAAGGAAGATGGAGTTATGGAAGTATAGAGTGAAGTAATGAAGTCCCAACAAGATATAGAAGAAAATTGAAGGAAAAGGGGATGAAGAGGAAAGCAATGAAGAGATCAAATAGGAGAAATAACGATAAAGCACAATAAGTATTTAACACGAGGAGGATAGAATTTGGAATATTGTGTGAAGATTATATGATACCTGCTGAATAAAATAGGAAAGTATAATTAAACATGTTAGGTAGGGAGAAGAATAATGTAAAGGTTAGGTGAAAATTAAGAAGATTATGAAAGAGGATTAAAAGAGTGTTTAAGTAACGAGAATGATAGTGTAAAGTCAGTTAGTGAGAAGCGATGTAACTATAAGAATATTAGTAACTAGATAAATAGAAATAAGAAATGGATGGGTGTGTGTGTGGTTAAGAAATATAAATTATAAACCAAATCTCTTTCTTATCTATGTAAAATGTAAAGAAAATATACTGATGTTGACAATGCGCGAGACTAATAAATATCGATATCTCTGTCGAACTTTTCTTCTTTATACTTTGCGGCATAATTGTGAAGAATTTTG